AAGAGTCACTGAACGACGTATATATCTTGGGACCAGGTTTCATCTTCCTTGCCACTCACAGTCGCAGTGAACAAATGCACTGCTACCTAACGCTGCGTATAAGCCGGCGGCGACAGGGCGTTGCCGCGACCAACCACACCGATGCATGCACAACGCCTGGTACCGGTATTGTAAAATCTCCCATATCGGACTGGACACCCTGTTGTGACCGTCATCAACTGCGAGGCTATATTTCGTCAATCACAGGCAGGAGAGCTGCAGCGCTTGCAGAGTGGCGTATGGGAAGAAGCCGTGCGACACGACGCATTGCCGTGAGGGCTGGGTGTACACCCCATAGCGCGGCCGGCGGCCAGCGCGAAGAATAGCAGGGGCTTAAAACAGGGAATGACTGTGCTAATTCATATGATGTGATGCGTTAAGCCCGCAGCGTCTACTGTTTCCGGAAGTTTACAGACATCTGATAGATTAAGAAAAATAAATCCACGCTAGCCACCGGCTGTGCTATGGGGTGTACACAGTGCTGTAGTGAAAATATGGTCACGCTCCCCTGCCATCTCAGGGTCGTCGATGGCCCGCTTAGCGATCCCGCTGTCGTTGCGGTCAACGCGATGGCTATCCAAAAAACAAAAAAAAAACATTCGAGGTCTGTGACTGCATGGCTCCATCATCAGTCCTTCCCAAACGCGTCGATAAAGTCAATCAACCCAATCAGCCCGCGACATCGACACTTTCCAACTCACCCTCCTTTAGTAATCATGACTGTAGTGCATTTTAGGCAGTTCAGCAGCGATGGGATCAACCATGAGCCCCTCGTGATCGTGCCGACAGATCACATCAAGGAATTCGCGCTAAGACCCAACAACACAGGAGGGTGCTTTGATGACACATTTCCCAGCGTCTTCACGGCTTCCTGATGGACCATTACGCGGCGGATGGGAATATGGTGGAGCTTCACCTCCACTTCGGGAACAGCATTGGCTGCAGCGGATATCACCGAGCTTGTGGAATGCACTCGCCAAGGTGCGCTCACCCGCCAACGGCCCGCCCCTTTTCTTCGTCTGCTTTGCTGCAAAAAGGGGTAGACGTTGGAGCTAGCGCCCCCAGAAACGGCGGTAGTGGTACGTAATAGGATGGCGGACCGTTGAGGCTGTTGATGAACCTTGTCCAAGGAGAAACCCACACGATCCAGCAGACAGTCTCGTAGTCGGCCGAACAACGGCAAACTCCTACTATCCCTAACGACGCCTCACCCGAGCGAGCTGTGAGATCGTCCTACCCGAGCGTGGCTGCCGAGGTTAAGGCTGACGCTACGGCTTTAGATGGGAACGGAGTCCAGGCTCACGTGTTAGCGAGACGGATTTTATATAAGTCTATCTTTCTTACTGTCACTGCACCCTGCGAGCTCATATTTACCGACGCCGCGGCCATCAGGGCTGCCGCTATTTCCAATCCTGCACTTAGAGAGGTACACTGTGTACAGTCTTAGACCGCATACGCGGGTCGCAACCAGCCTGCCATTTTCACAACAGAGGAATGAGCAAGCCACAGCCGAAAAAATCTCCAAAGGCTCACTCATCGAGTCGAGCTTCACCTAACTGTAACCCATTGGCGTCATGAGCCTCTGACACGATTGCGTGATCTTTTCCCCAGAAGATTACTTGCAAGCGCCTCCCTCCCTCAACCCTGACACAAATTCCGTATGGATATTTGCCATTTTAGCGATGGACCGAAGCTCTACGAGTCCCCATCCAGAGCAGGACGAGCATCGCATGGAGCAGTAATATCGACAGGCACGACGGATGAAGCTCCCACTTGCGCCAGCGGACGACATTCCGCAGGTTTACACCTGACGACGAAGCTTTCCATACGTACGACCTTTAGAAACACGGAAAACCTCCGGGCGCGACTTGCTGTGATGGGGTAGAGGCGTATCGGGGGGCCAAATAAGTTCCTTCTCGATAAACTGGTCGGGGCACGAACAATTTATAACGATGGCGCCGACTATTTAATTCTGGGTTAGCCTTAGCACGGCCGGGCGACGAGTGCGGCATCATTCTGCAGCCTCCTTTCCCTTAGATGGTCTTCCAGCCCGGCACACGCTGTCCTGCTCTTATAAAGCCCACACCTACTAAATAAAGCACCCTTAAGCACCTATCTTGCCCGGGTCCGCATCTCGGCTGACTGGGAGATGCGCCCCAAAGCCCCGATTGTGCTTCTCGCCAGAAAAAAAAAAACATCTGAAACTCTTCGACACGGGTCATGCTAGCCAGAAATTCGGTGGTCAGAGCTACTTTATCCCGAACTACTCGTTAACCGCCTCATCGCAGGCTTGTCGGCACGGTCTGCTCCCGGATTGAATACTACTACCACAACCGCAATGTTAGCACTGAATTGACTACTAAGGACTTATATAACCCAAACGCATGGAACGAATACGAGGGATAGAAGTTCCGTTTTGTTTAGAACCAAAAGGGGTGCATCGTATTGCCCGCTTCCTTCTCTAACATACATGGAGCTTTAACCACTTTCTATAAAATTGCCACGCCTACAGTACTTCCTGCTGCGCTGACGAGACGATGTTTTAGGTGCCTACGATATACAAAGATCCGGCGCGTCGGGCAGCAAAGACTTCTTGTCGTTTGGGACTGCCAACGTCGCTGTCGAGAAGCCTCTGGTGGATTTACTAAGCATGACGAATTAGTAGTGCCGGGTCTTATGCGTTAGCGGGAGCACCGTGTTATATAGCATTATAGAAAGCCATTTAGGGTTCGCTATTACATCTTATTCCTCTATTTTTCTCTATTTAAGAGGCTAACGCGTTATTATATACCGTTGTCTACACTCGTAGGACTAGAGGGGGAATACGCTATAAAAGCTTCGTATATAGAGTATGATACGGGATAGAGACCAGATTTCCACCTTTAGAATAGTAAGAATTCCCTTAGCCGCCTGTATTCTAGGAAAGAGAGAGGGGGGGGGGGGAGGAAGAGGAGGAGGGCGGGGGCGGCAGGGGGGGGGGGAACGAATTCCCATAATTCTTAGTTAAGTATTATAATCTAGATACTACCTAAGACACCTACGCTAAGATCGAGTTATTAAGTAGCGTTTACTACTCGTAGCCTCTCTATATTCTTCGTAGCATCTTTAATCGAAGTCTTAAACTAAGATTATTTAACTTTACTAGCTTTTCTAACATTAGGGTAGATTTTAGCTGTAGTTGTTTAAGTATAAGAATCTTATTTCTTCGCGATCCTCTTTCCTTCTATTATAACAAGGCCACTACTAAAAACCCATAACGGGAATCTTATACATCCCAAACTCTCGCACTCGGCCGTTACTTTCTCGTCTCTTCCTTCCGCGGTAGCCTATACCAGCCGTCGTATTTTAGCCAGCGCGGTACCGGACCTACACAACAACGAATATAAGCGACAGTTTAATATTTCTAGCGAATCCCAGCTTATCTAATCCTACTATAGCGATTTGGTTAAGGTGAGATCTGGTTTCAACCCTTCGCTTGTTATCCATAGAGTAGTTTCAAACCCAAGACACTGCTAATTATTACTTGTTTAAACAATCGTCTAATTTGTAGTCAAAGCCGTCGAAGAAAAAGAATTTCGGATTATTCAGATATTTAAGACGTTCTTAATCTATAGAAATAGCCATCGCTACTAGCATGTCTAACGCTATTGCCCCGACAAACTGACAAGCACACGGCCCGAAATAGTTTATAATAATGCTAACGGCTTTTCTAAAGCTTACTCCTTCTTTTCTACTTACTCCATTATCGCCCAGCTTCCCTTTACTTTCCCGAAGGACAATAGGATAATACTCCTACTCGTCGTATATACTAATTAGTATTCTTTAAGGTTCTAAATACACGACTCTAGATTATCTTCTTAAAAGATTCGCCGTCTCTTCTATCTGCTTTTTACGGTTTTCGTAATTATGGGTTGTTCTACTTACGCGTGGTGCGAATGCGAAGTCTTCCAACAGAGATGTACTTATCCAATTCTCCTGGCGAAGCCCTTATACTTACTATTATTTTACCATAGTTTGCTGTGAGACCAGCCGGACGGGTGGCTTTGGACCCAAAGTCACAGTCATGCTTTAAACCCGCATGCGAGGCAGTAAACGCTTACACCTTAAAGTCGCTCGACGACCCATAATCTCCGTATCGGGAAATTCTTATTTTGTAAATATAATCAAGTTTTTTGGGCCAGACTTCCCCCAGCAGCATTGCGTTTTTGAAGACCACCGTGGCCGGTCAAAATAGCACGATGAGAAGCGGTCGCATCGCAATGCAACTTAGTAGAACTTCAGAACAAACTGCTTAAAAGCTCTAGAAAAAATTGCGCAGCACGCGCTCTTGATTTTAAGAAAAACCACGAGTTGCAAGAGGGTATAGAGTAACCTTAACGGTCCTTTCCCCTGGTAGTACGTTATGAGAAGAATGGGGATTAGCACTAATTGGTCATACGTGCGTCCGTGATGTACCAGAATCCGCCGCTTTGTCGTCTGTCGATGTGCGATGGCGCGCGGCTGCTTGCGTGAAGAACCATCCAATAGCTGGCGGAAGCGCCCCTGATACGAGCGGCTGTTGCGTAGTTGGATATGAAACTGCTGCATCTGATGACGTCAGTTGCGCGTTGGAAAGACGGTGTGAGTCCGTCGCATGCAGGGGTCCTGCTTGAACCCGCTTGCAAGCAAAGAGCCGCCCACAGATCGATCAAGCAAGCGGGGATATTCACCCCGCTTGTAAGCTTAAGGCTTGATCTTCGTAAACCGATTAAGCGGGCTAAAAATGCCCGCTTGCTTGCCGCTTGCTTGATTGCTTATTAAGCCGCTTGCGCTTGCTGGGACCCCTGGTCGCACGGCGCATACAAACGCGCCCATCTGTTGTCGTGTCCAACCTTTCTTCCTCCACTACACCTATAACTTTGACGTGAACACCCTCATCAGAACAGTTCTTGACAGCCTGCCCACCCTCCCTGACCATCTCAATGCCACCGCCCTCGCGTACAACCATGGACAAGGAGAAGAACAAGCAAGATGAGTATGTACGCCCTTGCTGATGGAAGAAAAAAAAGAAACGCCTAACACTGATATAGTAATAGCAGTCTAGGCGTCCAGCAGCAGCAACCGATTGGTCACAACCTCACCTGGCAGGCCAGTGCGCAGCACCAGCAGCAGTACGCGGCACAGGGTCCTCCGCCACCATACGCTCTACAGGTCCCTCCGCATTACTGCCACCAGCAGCACCAGACATAGTAAGAAACGATCCGTATAATATTTTCAACAGATTCTGACGGCATGGATCAAGTCAACCGATGATGTATGGCAGGCCCGGCTATGGGTTAGTACCCCTTACACAGTTGGAAAAGATGTTTACTAACTGGCGTGCAGCCAGCCAACGCAGGCCCCGTCTACCTCGGCCACTCCAGGCTACTTCTCAACCGCTCGCATAGCACCTGGCACCCACTGTTACGGCGACGAGATGAGCAAGATGTTTCGGGCTGGCGAGCAGCTCGCGAAAGAGGGCGACTTCATATACGTCGCACCGTTCATCGAGTCAAGTGATGACGGCGCCTGTTCAAGATGCAAATACAGCGGCAAGCGCTGCTGCTCCCACGTTGCCAAGTCGACGACACCCGGCAGAAAGCGCCGGGCCGCTGAGACGATGCTCGGTCCTTCACGGCGCATATTCCCTTCTCCCGTGCCAGCGGTAAGCTCGTGCCCTGCAGATCAAGAGGAACCGTAGTGGACGACATATGCTGACGATAATCTTCAAGCCGCCCGCCGCCCCCGTGTCCGGCAGCAGCCCCCTCCACACTTCTGACGCCAGGGCGAGTCTTGAGACGGTCAGGATGCTGGCGACCGGCATGGCAGCCAAGCTGGCTGAGCTCGAGCGCGGCCAGAAGCGTCACTTCGACGCCATCATGGAAGACCGACGAGCCATCGCCACCTTCATCGAAGAACAGCGGGCAATCGCCATCAAGCTCGACTCGATCGGGCAGCAAGTCGGGGACGTCCTCACCCAGGTCGTCGGTTGGGAGTCGAGGAAGAACAAGAAGAAGTCGGCAGAGGAGGAGGAGGAGAAGGAGGATGAGGAGGGGGTCCGCAACGCTCTGGGCGCCATTGCCGCCGAGCTAAAGGCATTGCGCAGCGACATTGCTGGATTGCAAGTCCACGGACGGCCCACCACGCCGGGACTTGGCGGGCTTGCATCCATGTTGCCGCCGACGCCGGTCCAGCAGCAACAACCCTTCGGCGTCCCGCATGGACTGCCTTAGTCCGCGTGCTAAAACATGTCCACTCTCATGCACCCTCGCCACATGTTGTCAACAAGCCCCCTCGCCTCTGCAGGTTCTCAGGTGGCCTAGGTGGTCGGGTTAGCGTGGTTTGAAGTTTGGCTCAGACATGGTTTGCCGTTGGGTTTGCCTCTAGTATGCGACAATGCTGGAACAGCATTGTCAAACACCTCTGGATTACAGCTAACAGGGCTGAACTCGGACGGAGGAGACTTTGGTTATTTCTTCATGTTTGGCGTTAAGGTGACCTGTCCCCAGGGCGGCGGTACCAAGGTAGTAATACCTGCTCCTGTAGAATAAGAGATCTAGCGAAAAGGAAAAGAGAAAAAGGCTTTAATAGGTCAAGTGGCTCGGATTGGTTTCGCTTGGTGGATTTCTCTTTTCGCCAGGCAACGACTCACATATTAGAGGATGCGAACCGTGATCTAACTCGCTTAAACAACCGGAAGATCAAGCGCTACAGCCTTAACGTTGCCTCCTCCACTTCATTAATCCGCTCTGTCGCTCCATCTCACCCGCACCATCATCCGTCGATTTAGTACCCATCTGCCATTTACATCCGCGGTACGTGCAGTCTCGCCTACGCCTCCATCTCAGCAGTATCACGGCATTATGCCGACATGTTTATGGGATGTGGGAAACCGCGCATGGTGCTGAAAAACATCTCGTTGTGCGAGACACGGCCTGAGTTTCTTTCGGCGAAGCCCTGCGACATAGTAGACGGTGCCCGCTCCCTCTCAAAAAAAAAAAAAGAACTCTCGCTCATGAAGAGCTCATAGCGTGGGTACGTCTTTGTTTTGTGATCTCCAAGCGGAAAAGCATATATATGCAAACGGCCCAGGTGGAGTTGTGCATTCAGATGCTGACCTCTTATTCTCATTATTCAGGAATGCATTTCTCCATATCGTCTAGCTTTCCCTCTGAAGCACCAGAATTGCAAAGTTCAGCGGAGACGGCAAAGCATCCACTTTTTGAGCAACGCCCCCATGCCTCATGCCGTCGTAGTGGTAAAACTCTTCCTTCTGTTTCCAGTACAGCGTAAAGTGGTCGGTTCTACTGTCAAACGCCACAGCTGCCTTGAACGAATACAAGACATTATTGCCTCTCGGGTTATAGACAGGGTTCTTGTAGACTATAAGCTGGATGCGGGCGTCATGGTCAACGATGGCCGGACTAAAGGAACGCCCAAGAGTCAAGTGCCAGGGCGTCCGGTCGACGACGATGCGGATCTCGTCAAGCATCGGACATAGTCCATAGGCTTCGTAACATGTCTCGCATGGCTTATCTGCTTTGGTTTTACCAAAGCAGCGCTGGAGTGCGGCGTCGACGGAAATATTTGGCGCATGTCCGCCAGCCGGGGTGCCAGAGTCTTCGATTATGGCTACTCTCTTGTAGAGCCGGACGGTGGGGGCGGATCGACAGTTGCGACATAAAAGAACGACTGCGCGGTGGAAGCTGGTCTGCGTAAAGTAAGGGCCAACACTTTCCCAGGCACGGACCATGCTGACGAACTGCCCGGTATACACTCGGAGACAGTTGTTGAACGTCGGGCGGATGAGTAGTCGTTGCGAGAAATGGTCGACGGGGGCGCGGGATGCGTAGATGCTAAGAAGAGCTGCGAGCGAGTTGTCCCTCGAATCCAGATCTACACCCTCACACTTAAGCTGGCCGAGATCGAGGATTAGTGCAAGGTGCATTAGGCAATCAAGGGCGCAAGAGTTTTCCTCCCATGGAGGCCCTCGCAGGTAGTCTTCATGCTTTAGCTGGCGCTTTGGCTGATAACCTTCCGGGAAATTCGGCCTGGGGAGGTTTTGGGTGTGGCTGAGGATGGCGTCGATGGTGGACATTACGAGGGCTAAGAAAAAGAGTCCCTGCAGACGTGGCCATACTGGCGGAAGAACGGGCAGGCAGGGCGGATGTAGCTCGTTGCGGATGAATATTTTGTAGCCGTCGCATTGGAGTGCTTCTCTTACATTTCGGCTAATGCTCGGCGTAGAGGGTGCTGGAAATCATGCTTAGCAAAATTTACCGGCCAAAATTCCACCACGTGCCTCTCCAACTGCCCACGGGATTGTAATTTGCAGGTGCAGATATTCCGCGCCGCTATGACAATCGATCGCTGCACTGCATGTACGCCCACCCGGTGTACATACCTGGGACGTGCCGACAGCGTAACTGTAGTTTTATATTGTAAGCGCGACATGGGATGCACAGCTGGCACCCCATTCACATGTTTTCCATCCACGGGCCCCGCATCCTCCCAAGTGCACGACTCGAGTCGGGTATTCCCAAGTCCCAGCTCGCTCTTAGATAGCGATCCATGCCAGCATCCCATTTTTGAGATTTTTAGAAAGGTAGGGACAACCAATTCCGCGTTATGCGTTGGGTTGGCGGAATGTTCCTCTACAATCCTCTAGGGCTTTCTCTACCGACCAGTGGAATCACCTGTGGCTCTATGCCGCTTGGTGAGGGCGTTCGCGGCCGGCTGTCCGCTTTGGGTTCCGTTCTCGTGGGCTGTAATTCATCGGCCAACTCTGCGGTGGCCTCCAGATATTCCTTCTAAGGTTTTATAGTAATATCTTTACGTTGTTGACGGAAGGTTTGGGCGTTATTCTCCGCCGAACTGTCTCTACTGCCCGTTGTGAAATCTTTCATCGAGTTTATCGAGGTCTCGTAAAGCACGCATTCGACCCTCCCACCATGCCTCTCCAGTCAATTTTCGAGGCGGGGCTTTTACCTAAACAACGGCAATAATCCGGAAATGGCCACCTAATTCCTGTCTTGCGCTTCCTTAGTAATCATTACGATTCTAATATCCCCGCAGGTCTGGACTGGACGTTAGTAGCCATCGACTTGGTGTCCCCTCTTATATTCTTGTTCTTCTTCTTAGCCGGGACCGCAACACTCCGTATTTCAACCAACTTTTAATTTACTCCTGCTCAAAAGGCGAAGGAAAGAAAAATGTGTTATAACAAAGCGCATTTCCGCGTTTCAATAGATTGTTACAGGACGTCACAATTTAGGTTTGCCGGGTAATTGTCAAGGGAACGCCAAAAAAAAAAAAAAAGACCAAAGTAGTACCCGACGAATTCAAACTGAACATTTTGGTGGAGATGCACCGTGCGAGCCGCCGCCCACGCCCCATAGTCAAACTGTTGATCACCAGGGCGAAGAAATGAGAACAGCTATGAGATTCGAAAGAACAGCCCTAAGGGGCCGCTTATCGACACGGTTTTGAGGTCTGTGTAGGTTTTATTGCTGGGTAATGGTTGGCTACAACATGAAAAGCAAGCTCATTTTCTACGAGACCGATAATAAGAATGGGAAAATAACCTAGAAGGTCTACCAAGAACAGATCCTCCTATACGTCGAAGAGTTCTTTCAGGACTCTAACAAGCATCTTATTTTATTTAAGGATAACGACTCTGGACATGGTACAACTGCTCGCTCAAGCGCATGGCAGTGGAACAAACAACACGGCATTGAATTCATATTCAATTCACCAAGATCGCCTAACCTCTCGATTATTGAGAATTGCTGGCAACCACCAAAGCAAGCAATCGCTGCGGAAGATTACTGGGACATAGAAACAACAAAGCAACGTATTCTTGACGTTTAGGAGCAAAAGGTTACGATAAAGTTTATCAATTTACGCGTTGTTTCGTACGTAGATAGGCTGCATGACTGCCTGGATAAGCAGGGCAAGATGACCGGCTGGTGACGGCCTCAACACCATGAAAAATGACCCTGATATCCTCAAAGACCATCTGCAAAAACCGTGAATCACTGCTGTCTACGAATGCACGCTGTTGTGTGGGCAAATATGCCTGCAAGCGTTGGGGGTCGGACCTCGGCGATTTGTGTGTGCCAGCTAATTTTTGCACCGCGTGACGGGCCCGCCGCCACAAAGTCTTCATGATTAATTGGCAGGTTATCCTACATATGGTGAAACACACCATCATTGCCTTGTTGGCGACGACGAGAACGATTAGAGAGCTAAAGACAATCCATGACATCCGTGTCTTCGTGGGATTCTACAACTACTACAGGTGTTTTATCGATGGATTTCCCGGAATCATCGTGCCGCTGAATGCCTACGTAAATTGCGGGAAGGGAACAGTCAAGAAACAGAAGATTTTAAGCCAAGAAGCAGCCAAAGGTTTCCAGCAATGCAAAGACGCTTTCGATACAGCACCACGAGTATTGAATCATCTCGACAACAGGGAGCCCATCGGATGCGAAACGAACGTTTTGGGCGCCGCGATACATAGCATAGGTAGTTAAGCGGAGCATATAGATGTCTCAATGGAAACGTTACCCAGAGGAGGAAACGTTACCCAGAGAGAGAAACGTTACCCAGAGGGGTAAGTGTTACCCATACGCATGGAAGGCTGTTTTCTCAACAGTTATTATTGTATATAAATGTTGAATTTTTAACGTTGAGCTGGGAGCTCCTCGCTAACAGCGAAGAGTACACGGCGAAGCAGATGGGCGCTAGTCTACTAATCGTGTATTAGCGCCTGCTGTGTACGGAATAGCTGTCGATTTCCGACTTCGTCATCACCTATGAAAAGGCGAGACGAGCCTCGTAGACGCACTGTGACAGCAATTTAACTATATAAGGAAAGACGCAGGAGACGAGTAGTACTAGTTTCATATCCTCAACACCCTACAGAACCAGTCGAGGGACACTAAGCCCCAACGGCGCACAGAGTGTAACTGTATAATGGCTTGACATCCAGCAAACGAACTAAACAGCATCAATCAGCGAGGAAAACCGCACTGACAGACTGGCCCAACAAGCAAAGGCCGGAAAGTCCCAATAAAATTCTTGGACAAAAGATATAACGAAAAGGGCGACCTCAACCAAGGGCAAGCTCTACGTCCGAGAGGGGCAGCGTCAACCCACTCATCTAGCTTTCCGAAGCGCTTCATAAGTGGACGAAGCTCAAACTGATGGTTCTCAACCTTAGTCTCCAGCACACTGACTTTGGACTTAAAATCACGCTCACAAGCATCACGCTCACCACCAGTCAGACGGGGCATCTTCGCCTCGACGCCTACCAATGAGCAGCAGTGAGAGTTAATTAACAGCAAATGAATCCAAGAACCTACAGTAAGACCGCCCCGAGCCGCCTTGCCAGCTGATGCACGTCCTACAGCCTCACGGAGCACGCTATCCAGCCGAGGCTCGTTACTGCCCATGTAGTTCCGTAATTTCCCCAATTAGGCGTAGATGTTCGACTTGTAGGAGCTCGTAAGAAAACCTGAGACATATTGTTGATAGTAGATGCGTATTTGGGCCAGTCTTTGCCGGCAGTACAGGTAGTCCTCTATGTTCTAGGCGAATACAGAGGCCGTAATGACCACGAGACTGGGCGAGAGGGGTGACTTGGAGACCTGAAGGCAGGCTATCCGGCGGAAGACTCATAGGCCCTTAACTTGACGCCCTTCGAATATACTCCTAAATAACGTTCGTGACGAGTTGGCACCAGTCCCCGTTTTTGAAGTTTTGAATGGGTATTCGACTAGTATTCGTAGTTTCCTTTTAAACCATAGCACTCTGAATCCGCTTCCCTAAATAGCAGTTAGATGCACTCGAGGAGTTGAGTTGAGCCACAGATGCATGGTGCCGCTCCTGCCTATAAAGCGAGCTCCTTCTGAGTTTGATGACCATAAGGTCCCTCAGTTCTTAAGGCATTACGAGAATTTGGCGAATTATTACGTCTTAACCAAGCAACGAAAGATTAAGAGGTCTCTTTTTCGTTGTAGCCTGTTGATTAAGGGAACCGAGGAATTCTCGATTGAGTACTAAGAGGAGATGAAGAACAGGCCCTTAAAAGAATATAATAGAAGTGGTACTTAGAACAGCGTGTTCTACAAAGAGGTGCACGGAGACCGAAAAGATTATAAAGGCACGACAGCCGCCGAAGAGCTGTGCGTAATTCTTGCGAAAACAGGTTGCGTCCGAAGGGGGTTGGTGCCCTCTATCTACACAGGTTACCAGCTGTTATCTTAGCACAGCTAGTAGTGCTCCCGGCCGGCGCTGCCTTTCCGGCAGTGTATGTGGCGATGAAAGCTGTAATTAAGCAATTGAGGCTGTGTATGATGGGCTTATTTGTGGTGACTGGTGACATCGATACATTACCTGGATTTTCCGGGCTCTAGCTTAAGTAGAAAGTGATAGTCGCGTAAGAATTCGTCTCTTATACACACTCCGCCCTCCAGGATAAAGACTATAGCTGCCCCTGTCATCTTTGCACTGATATCAGCACCGTTATTTGCGAATGAGAAATCACAACGATTAGGCGCCAGCTGCTATTTAAAGCATTGTTTCAGTGCTCGGGAGAGGCGCCGAAGAAAGAAGAGCTTAATATTTTACGAGTGCGAAAAGACGAGGGTATATTCCACGATTCGACTAGAGGAGATTATCGCGATGCTCTGAGAGCGATACGGAAGCAAGATATAGACCAGTCGCGGTAGGTTGATTCGGTTTGCATTAAACAACATGATATTGCAGAGCGGGACGAATAAGTGTATTAGCTGGATATGATCTGTGGAAAGACAAAATAAAACATGTATCTTGCTAAATTTAGAGAGTAGGATTTAGGAGACGGCCATGAAGTTTAATTCCTCTAGTGATCTAATTAAGCTATAGGATTTCGACCAGCTATGTGAAAGTGTAAGATGATAATCG